TACAGTGAATAACTGTACAAATTACATAAATTTAATTAAAATTGTATGCACGCACAACTACGTGTGGGTAAGACGTTTTTTGTTTTTATCTTTTTATTTATTTATTTATTTTTATCATGTCCCTTTTCCTGTATATTAAGTATGAAGTTATCTCTTACCTTTCACCCCTGATTGCTCAGTTTGACCAGGAGATCAGCTTTAGGAAGAATTCTGATTGTTCCAAACTTCCTGCATTTAAGAATTAATAACCTTTTTATAAATTTGCTAAAATTTCTAAAATTCACTTTGTATTATCGAGTATATACATACAGAATTTCCTTTTTTTCATTTTAGCTAAAGGATGCCACATTACAAAATGTGAAAAAATGAAGGGGTTTGAAGACTTTCTGAATGCACTGTAAATCAGGTTCTTGTGTTTGAAGATAAATCTGCGCTGGTTGAGGGCAGAAGAGGTTGAATTCAATCTCTACTAGTTAGAATTTTATCATTTACAGAAGCTCAGGAAGTTATTACAACTGAGAGCTGCTGAAAAGAAACCTTGGACAAGACTTTGTTTTCCTGTGTTAATGATTAGTAATAGGCTGCTGTGGCATTACCGGGGGGCCTTTACTGTTTGTAACCACCAAAGGCAAGGCATACTTGCACTTCAAACAGGCACATCCTCAAAAGGGTTTATACAAGCCCACAAGAAAACTGATCTGTCCCGTGTGGCCTGTTTAAAGAGGGAGTTGACCTCTTTGCATTTGAAGAAAGCCCCTTGTCTCACATATCAGGTGGCCCTTAAGGATCACCTTAATAGTTATTAATGCAAATCACACTCACATCTGCCATCATCAGCTAACACCTTTTCCCAAAGGATGCTGTAAAAAAAACACCCTGGACAGAGCAGGCCGCCGGTCCATCACAGGGATGAAAAACACATAGACACCTATGACTACATACATAGTCTCTAACCTATAGAGAGAAATACGTTTCAATAGTAGCCTCAGATGTGTGTTTTGAAGATTTAACGTCTTTGTCCTGACTTCTGTGTGCACATGGACATCGTTTATTTACTGTAATTTGTTTATAAATCATTAAACACAGCAGGGTTCAAAAGTCTGAGTCCTGCTGTATATTTGCAAAATTTGTTTCTCTCTGTACTGAACCACCTGACATGCTTTAACTGTCTTTGGATAATGGGAAGAAAGCCATCTGTGTTACATAACAGAGCACCACACTTGATTTTTGTATTATTCTCTCACTTCTATGATTTACCACGTGTTTGATGTCACCGCAATGATTTAAATGGCAAAGAAGGAAAGAGAGAAAATAGAGGAATACAAATAAGATCTCTGGTTTCAAGTTTCTCGTGGTATTTGTGAGAGTAAATAGAAGTGAGTCTAGTAAAGGTTTATGACTTTGCCTCTGACAATATGAATGGTGAGGGAGTTAACATACCTTATGTTATGGGATGGACACTTTGATGTAAAATGCTCGTTCACACTTTTCTCACCCCAATTGGAACCGAACCTCTGGCACTGTCTGTGTCGTGTTCAAGACATTTTCAAAAGTAATTCATGCAAAAGATAAGGGCACAAAGGTCCAGACCTCAGTAAATTTTCCCTGCTTGTTAAACCTGCATACGACCGAGGATGTACACTAATGTTGTTTTTGGCGGCCTGTTTTAGTTTTAGTTTTAGTCTAGTCTTTGTGTCAAGCTGTCATTTTAGTTTTTATTAGTTTTAGTCATGTTCATACTCTTTTTAGTCTAGTCAAGTTTTAGTCGACTAAAAGTCTGAGCATTTTAGTCTTATTTTAGTCAGTGAAAATTTGATTTTAGTCTCTTTCTAGTAATGCAATTCTATTTAACCCAGTATAGTATAAGTACCTAGTAGTATAGACAAAACCAAAATTTTCTTTTAGCCAAACCCATTTCACAGTTCAAACAAGGTTATCTTATTATTATATTATTGTTACCTTATAGACTCAAGAATACATCCATTCCACACAAGACGCTCTGATTTGAATTTACAACATATTTATTTTACCAACCAAACATGTTTTCCTGTGATTTTGTGGCCGCATTTCTCCCCATCTTTTTCCACAACACATTCTGTTTTTTTTTCCACCTCTATGTAATGAAAGTGTGTCCAAATGTCATTTCGTCTTTTTCTTCCAAAGAAGAACCCCGACTGGCTGCCGGCCATCGGTCCTTTTCTCTGTCGTGTTATATGTTTCTGAAATTGTCGTTCAACCGCAGCTGCAACTTCTAAATGCCGCCCGCGAGTGGGGATTGAGGAAGTGACGTCGCATGCGTCGGCGCAGTGCGACCTGATGAAGTGAGACACAGGAAACAGAAATACTGCAAAATAATAATAACTCGACTAAACGAGTCGAAATGACGTTATAACATTTCGTCTCGTCTCGTTTTAGTCAACGAAAATGAAGGGACATTTTAGCAGAGTTTTTATTTTGTAAACCACATTTAGTCTCGTTTTTATTCGTCAACAATATTGCATTATATATTTAATTATAGTTATCGTCACATGACCAGCATTTACGTTGCGTCTCGTCTCGTTTTCGTCACGTGATAAAGGTTCGTTGACGAAGATATTTAGTCATAATTTTCGTTGACGAAAGCAACACTAATGTACACTCACTTACCTGTTTGACAAAAGGCAAAAGGTGGCTTCCTGCACTGACCATAAGGTAAACAAAAATACAAGTGGACCAACTACCCCTTTTCCTACAATCTGTACAACTGATTTAGTGTCCCATTACTCCAATGAACACAGTCATACAGACAGTAAACACACATGCACATGTGGTTTTAAGTAGACCTTGCTCAGTTGGGTGGTCATTATAGCAGGGTGTCCCTGATTCTTAAAACAATAACAATCAACAGGAGGCACCTATAGGTGGGCAGCTCACTCTAAATCACAGCTGCACAATGATAAGCACAAATATATAAGAAGCATGTAACAAAATTCGTTCACTGGATTACTGGAGCAGGCAGGTGATGTAGGGAGGCCACAGCGTCAGGCTGTTTTGTTGAATGGTGAAATAAATCCCCACAGTTTGAGCATGGACCAGTCATGGAACTGAGTGTGGACTAAGAAGGGGTTGGTACAATAGAAACCAGCTTTCCCAGGTGCTGCAATCACAACTTTTTGTTAACCCAGTAGTTCCCAGCCTGTGGGCCACGAAGGTATCGAAGGTGGGCTGATAAATCATTTGCAAAACAATACAATTTTGGTTGTATTAAGATCTATCACTGTGATAAGGCAATGATTTTTTTATGTTGTCACTTGCCTGAACACATCGTATACTTATTTACTATCTCAGTCTGATTGCGCACTAAAAGATTACATCCATGGCAAAAACTTGAGTATCAAAATGGTTGGTTGGTTAGCAACATGAAGATTTAAAAGGAAAGAGAGCCAAGAGACAGATGTTGAATCAACAAGTGATCTCTCCCCCACCAAAGAAAAAAGAAAAATTGAGCTTCCAACATGTTTCCCCTGCTTTCAGTTCAGTCCTGAATGTTCAGTTGTTAATAAAAAGTGCTTGGAGAAGGCATTATTGGCCTCCATATCGTTAAGGGGTCGCATGTGGGCCGCCAACATTTTTGAGATTTCCAAGTGGGCCATAAGTTGAAAAAGGTTGGGAACAGCAGTTGAAAATCCCAGACTTTGGTGTTCAGTCATTGTATAAAAAACCCGCCAGATTACCCAGCTCCTCCAGTTGAATTTGTTGAGCTCAGACTGCGCCAATTTTCACTGGCAAAGCCCATGATATTGAAATGTTACACCCGTTTTTTAAGCAGCTGTCACTTTCAGTTTTAATCACACCCTTGATCTTGTTCTAGCACATGGCACTGAAGTGGAACATTCAATAGTCTTTCAACAGAATCCTCTTTTATCGGAACATTGCTAAATAACTTTTGAATTCCTATTACTGGATTACATGCCATTGGTCATAAATTCCCACACTAGATGTCTATCTGATAGTGCTGTAGCTAAATTTAGGGATAAATGTCTATAACTTACTTTAAGTCTTCTCAATTATTACCTGTATGACACTTTCATACCTGTACAGACACATGCCAAACCAAACATATAATGAAACCAGTACAGAAATATATACTTCAAACAATGCAAGCAAATGGAGTTATATTTCATATTTATATGCTGTCTCTGGCTGCAAATCCAACCTCAGTCCTAATCAAAGTCATTGCATCTTGATTAAACACAATTAGAAGGACGGTGTCATCTCTGAAAGTCACAGCACAGAGTAATAATGTTATAGTGCAACATAAATCACAAAAAGTGCATGAATTTCTTTTCTTTAAAAACAACGAATTTGGCTGTAAAAGGTTAAATTTGTTGGATTGAGGGCAACTGGACTTAGTTGAAGACGTTTCTTCAGTTCGGACTGAGTGGTGGGAGACTTGGGTAAACCTTTCTTGGATGACCTGGGGAAAGTTTTTGGATGACCATGATTTGGATGATTGAGAATCTTTTGCAGACATGTTGTGTGGGAGAAACAACAGAGCAATTCAGCTCTAAGCACCTTCAACAACAGCATCTTGATAGGATTTGGGAAAGGTATGTTGTTCACCCTACCTTCCCTCCACTATCACCCACATAGATGTTCCACCCACCCATAACTCACAGTATTGCGTATGTTTAGTATTTATGTCTGTCATCTGAACTAAACTAAACCAACAGCTCTAGATTACAGTGAAGATAGAAGGCTTTCCGTACCCTCCGTTTCAAAGAAAAACCAAAATATTAAGAACCATTACCTTTGGCTCGGTGAGTGTCTCTGGTATGCAACAGTGATTGACTGGCTCAAGGTATGTTTGTGTTGACAGAAAATTTAGCCCTGGGAGTCAGTGTCCAAATAGTCTGTGTGGAATTAAAGTGGGAAAAATATTGTTTTTTATTTGATGTTACTTGGATAAATGACATTGGTGAATTAATGACTTGTTTGTCTTTGCTATGCTTCTTTCCAAGGGCAAAGACAGTGATGAACAGCCAGAGCTGACAGTGGACATCGAGGAGCCACACACAGAGGCCCTGGAGGAGCCTGTGGACAAAGGTGGTGATTTGGTTTACTCCCTCAACGACAGGCCGCCGTGGTACCTCTGTATTCTGCTCGGCTTCCAGGTAAAGTGATGGAACTGGAAAGCACTTCTGACAACTTTCTATGAATTGATGATTTTTGGCCTCTAGAGAGATGAAGAATGTCAAGCTTTTAAGCTAAACAGCTAAATGCTCGTCCACATCCAGCAGACTCGAGGCAACATTAGCATTCACCTGATGGATGTTATCCCAACAGCCACACTCCTTTTTAGCTCTGTTTTTGACTCCAGTGGCTTCTCAGCTAGTTGCTGCTGTTTTGTGCCGAACAGGTCGCAAAGAGCAGGTTCATCAAATCTTGTTCAGTCTGCTGCTGCTGGAAACAAGATTGTCACCCTGGTGGTTTAGGGGTTAGGTGCCAACTATGAACCCCAATGTCCCATGAGAAATACATCATTCTCTATCTCTTTCTCCCTCAGTTTCTGTCACTTCTTTGCTGAAGCAATCCATTTAAGGTATAAAATAAATACTGCTACTGATTGAACAGGCATGTAGAAGAAAATAACGCCACCTTTACTGTCGATTCTATTGCCCCTCTGAAAAAGGAAAGTAATAAGTCTACCTGAGTCCAGCTTAGTCTGGCAAGATTGTCTTAAACATTAGAACAGAATTGTCCAAAGGATGCATCAGAGGGTGTAGTAACACAGTTTGTTCCAACACTGCCTTTGTACAGACAGAGGGTTTGTAAGTCATCAACAAAAGTTGGGGCACCTGTAGGAACTTGTAGGAAATCTGTAACCGATTATAATTCCCAAAAAGGTTATATTTTCTATAATATTTACATGATTTCTCACTTTTTGGTGACCTAAACCATTTTTTTTTCTTTATACCATTTAAGTTTATGATCTTGCATTTATAGTAGGTAGGCAGTGTATATAGTATGACTTAAAAAAAAAAGCTTTTGGCAAAGAGGAAGAACACAATACTTGCTTGAAGGATCGATTCATTGCAGATTTGGGGCTTTTCATGGGATTTGTTGGCCTCCAAGACGTTCTTTTGGGAACTGCACCAATCTGTCTTTGACTGTCTGTCGTTTTCATGGATCTGTATCACTTTTCTGAGTAATTTGTCTTTCTTGATGTTGCTTCAATACAAAAGAACTGCAATAAATAAATCAATTGGTTTATTTATTGCACTTCCAAGGTCGGACTTGGAAAAAATTCAGCCATGGACTTAACTCCTGGGACCAGCCCGCAAGAATGACAGGTAAGTAAGAGGCTGATGGAGCTGGTATAAACTTCCAAAACTTTATGGATGTTTTGACAGTCCACCGGCCGATGTGCACCAGCCTGTGCTTTGGTCTTCATTCTCAGGACACCATTAGTCCACTATATCTTTACATAGAAAATAGATGTTTGATGCTATTTTACTGTTTAAAATAATATCAGAGTTTAGCTCTTCTAGCTGCTCTCTGATCCTCAGGACTGGACTGTTCCAGCGGCTTGGATCATAAAAGCTAAAAGCTGCCTCATCAAAGGTTTCAGTCCTACAGTTTGGAGCAGCGAACAGACTCGTAACAGAGTGGCCATACTGATTCATACACTCTAAGCATGTGAGAAGTACATGCCACTGCATGACACACAAAGTGCTTTAAAGACACATTAAAGAATCTAAACATCAATATGGAAAATAACAGACACCAAATGTAAAGTATTTAAAACAGGTGTAATGCGTTCTCTCCCTCTGGTCCTTGTAAGCACTCGGGCTGCCTGGTTTCTGAATCAGCTGTAGCTGATTTATAAGATCTTTGCAGGAACCAGATAGACCAGACAGACCAGAGGGTCACACCAGTCAGGCCTGCTCAGTGTAAAAGCTTACATCAGTATTTCTTTGTCACTGAAGAGAGAGAAAAGGTCGCACCTTGGTAATATTTTTGAGGAGATATAAGGTATATTGAGAGGCAAACTTCACATGAGGCTTAAAGTCCAGATCTGAGTCAAAGACCAAGGTTTACTGCTTGTTTACTTGAGATTCTATCAGTCTGAGATGAATATGAATTTGAAGGAGATGACACAAGAATTTGTAAGCAGCCTTCTTCCCGGAGGAATATCCTCCCAGTTTCCTCTGTCATGAAACTGACCTTAGACATTTCCCCTGACTTATGGGAGTTGTAGGTTTGAGAATAACCCCATAAATCTGGCAAGGCCTATCAACATCTGTCTTCCATTTTTTTTTTTTTTTCCCCTTTGTCCAGATTCTTTTGCATCATGGCAATCCCCAAAACCAACACCCCCTCCCACCCACTCAACACAAACATGCATGCACATGGGTAGAGTGTGCTGGACAGTCAATCCTCGCAGCTGAATCCTGTCTCCCAGAAATTATGTTTCTATATAATTAAACCACAACCGAAAATACAGGACATGTAGGAAACATAATTGCGACCACATTATGTCTACTAATAACATGATGTGGATATGTTGTTAATTTCCATATCTGACAAGTTACAAATGAGTTTATACTGATGCATATATGTGTTTCCCATCAAAATAGAATATTGCAGTATGATATGCACATGTAGTGACTGTAGCATTATTATATTTTATGTTAGGTTTTTTTATTTTATGTCATGTTTAGACTCAGCGCACCTCAGGCACAACAAAAAAATATAGCAGCCTCTGATAAACTGCAGTACTGTGTATGTGATGCTGCAATGACGAAATATTGTGCAAACTATGTTTTGTACAGCCTGTGCTTTTTAAATAGGACCATAGAAGTGATGGATAACTGTGACAGAAGGTCATTTCAGCCGGCCAACTTTTGGGACTTAACATAAAACTAAGTAAAGGTTTATGCTCTGCACTCGTCATACAGGGAGTGGACACCGTACACCAATCATAAATAAATATTACCTTTAGGAGGCTTATAATGCTCAGTCTTGTTGAGACTGTTCCAGGCATTTATTCAGTGACAGGTAAACATTAGTTTTCACTTCTTCAAACTGAGCAAAGCCTTAACCATAGACGTAAAACATGAATTATTTCTGTGATGTCATTTTGAACAGCTTTGGAAGGCACTGACGAACAATGTTGATTTAGGAGTTGATGACAGATGTCCTGTTTGCTCATTTGGAAGAATTATTGGTGTGTGAATGAGTATGTGTGTCCAGATTTATGTCAGGTCATATCTGTGATCAGATTGCAGTGTAAAATGTCTCAGCTGGCAGCTGGTGTGATATGTCATGATCCTAGGTGCCAGGTACAGCACTATCACAGCTGCCCAAGCTACTGCTGCTGAGCTGCGCAGGACGACCTCTTTCATCACAATATAATAGAATATAATAGAAAAGCATTGATGTAGCGGTGTCCTGAATGCTTAAGACATATCGTGTAATTGCAACATCCCCAGTTTGATTCTGACCTGGGATGTTTGTCATCTTACCATGTTTCCTTTTCTCGACTGTTGTGGTTAATAAATGTTAAAATGTGAAGAAAAATCTGTTTTCTATAAGGGTTTGAATTTTGACTTCACTGATTTGTAATCAGTTTTGTTTTAATTGATGAGAAAACTTTCAGCCACTTCATTTTTTTTTTTTACCAGAAAATCAGATTTTGGGTGATATTGTGCTGGATGGTTTTCAAAACAGGAAGTGTGCAACAGGTTCATTTACAGTTTTCTGTACGTGGAAAAAGAGACATAATTTTTAGTTACAGTAACTCAGACGCATATCAGCTATAATGCCCCCTCATTATAGCATCTTATTTTTCCATTAGTCCTTATTGTGGAACATCTCATTTGCACTAGAGATCATTAGAGGTTAATGTCTATATTTGGAAAAACACATGTCACATAAAGACTAGTGATGGTCAGAAGAAGCTGCTTCTCAGTCCCCGAATCTATTCCCTCTCTCTTCTGCCTCTGCAGCATTACATCCTCGCTTTCGGCGGCATCATTGCGATCCCGCTCATCCTGGCCGAGCCGCTCTGCATAAAGGACAACAACGCCGCCAAGAGCCAGCTCATCTCCACCATATTCCTGGTGTCGGGATTATGCACGCTGATGCAGACGGCCGTCGGCACCAGGTAAGTGCCCCGATTGTCTCGCACGCTCCTGTGAACCGGAAGTAGCAGGCCACTCAGAGATATCGAGTTTCCACACACTCACACACACACATGAGATTTAACAGCTTCCATTTCTGTAACCCTCTGTGGAATGGCATTTGTGTGTGTGTGTGCGTGAGTGCGTGTGTGCGTGTGTGCGTACACGTTCACACTTTAAGTGCTGTCAGCCAGGTTTAAGATTTACAGCAGGTACAAACTGAGGAACTGCCTTGCTTAAGAATGTTCACAAGATAGAGGAAACTACCATATGTTCCCCGGCAACATGCCTTCAACACTTGCCCTGCATATGCTGCCTCTGCAAAGGTCCTTTCATAAAGTCCAGACACAAGCAGCCTCTGAGCTGTGTTTGCAACAGCCTGAAGTTGCAGCTTAGCTCAGAGGCCGCTGCCTTGGTTCGCGTGGAGTTTAATTGTGAGTCAGTTTCTCTGTCGGGCTCTACGTGGCGCTGACAGTGGAAATGAGATACCTTCAGCACAAGTTGTGAAATGCTTAAAGCCTTATGCTCTCCAACGCTTATGCAGCTTAATTTGTGGTTTTCCTTTTTTTAATGACAATCCTGGGAGCTGCTTGGCTCTTTGAGAGGAAAATCCACGTGAAGCTGATGTACCCATGTGTATGCTGTACCACAGTGCAGCTGCCTCCCACACATACAGCACTGTACGATACAGCACAGAGCTCCGCACACACCTTTGCTGCCCCCTCAGCCCTGCTGTAACAGTAAGCCTGAGCAAATAGCTAATGCTTTTGTTTGAGTTCTCCGCCTACACAGTTTGGAAAAAGCTTAAAGGGACGCAAAATGGGATCCCAGAAAACAACTTTGACACTGAATAATAAGTGAGTTCATCTTTATTTTTGTTGAACCTTTTCAGAACTGTGGTGTGAAGTGGTTTTTTGAAGCAAGACAATAAAAAGATGAAAAGCACAAAGGCGCGCAAGACAGAAGTGCATAGAAATACGCTGCAAAAGCAAAGAAAATAATACAAACAGGCATAAGCCAGAGTAAAAACACGTGTTTTATATTAAGATGTCCCAACCTTTCCCAAAGTTTAAGTTGAAAATGTACAGATTTTAGTCCTCAAAAGCAACAAGCCATGCATCATGTTGTGAAATCTCTGCATGATGTTCAGGGGCGGACAGTAACGAAGCACATTTACTTGAGTGCTGTCCTTCATATCTGTACTTTACTTAATTAATGATCGATCACTTATTGTTTCTTAAACTTATGACGTTTACTCGTTACCTCGAAGCAGAGCTTTTTAGTCGGAATTAATTTTTCTTTTCTTTTGAAAATGTGATAGACCATACGTTGTTTTCCTCACAGGAGAAAAATCCAATCACAGTCAACTCCTACGCGGTCAGTCATGTTGAAACAGCTCAGTTTGAACTTGGCACTGTCCTAACGATGGCTACGTTAGATAAACATGAGCCGGAAGATTCTTCGCCACACCACCATGATCTTATCTTCCAGGTCCATGATAGAGGTTTGACAAATCACGAAAGATTTCTTCCCTTTTAAATGGTTGCTGTGATAACCAGGATCAAACGTCCCCACTGCCAACAAAAATAAGAAAAAGTGACAATGACTCCTTGTGTTGATTCATACAGGTTGTACAGTGAGTCAGTAGGTTGCTTCAGAGTCATTGGGTTCTGTAAATGTGGAACAACACATCACTGAGTAACAAGGAGTAATATTTGACCAGGAGTATCTACACTTTGACTCAAATAATGCAGCTGTGTTCTTTGTCTCAGACCCACATCATCAGAGGTGGACAGTTTATAAAAACTATTGTAGTACTACTGAAATTCAGCCTCTGTGTCACAACTTAAGTTGAGAAATCTGAGCTGGAGCCTCTTTTACCACCACTTGTGAAATCCTTGCCAAGTTTTCAAAAATCATTAGCATTTGTCATGGGATTCATTTTAACGCCCATAAAAGCACTTGCACCAATATTGTTTTGCTTTCCTCACTGTACCGACAGTCTGTGAGAAAAGCTCATTAAAATTCTCAGCTCTTCTTCCAGGCTTGCTTTAAGCAGATCCAGGTCATCCTATTCTTCAGAGACCCGATATCATTACTTCCAGTGACCTCTGACCTTTTAACCTCTCTGCCTTATTGACTTAAAGGTTACCAATCCTCCAGGGTGGGACCTTCAGTTTCATCACGCCGACTCTGGCCATTCTCGCTCTGCCCAAGTGGCAGTGTCCAGCTCCGAAAGCACCGGGGATCCTGTCCATGCCGCTGCAGAACAGTACCAGCCCGCTGCAGATGGAAGATTCTGACGAGGTCTGGATGTCACGAATGCGCGAGGTGTGTAAAATATTCACTGGAGCCAGCAGATGATTCGCAGGACCTCACGTGCCCTGGCAGGGAATCCAATCGGTCACCTTCACAGTGCTAACGGATTTAAGGGGAACGATGAGAACCCTGTATAATCCTGTCGCACCTTAATGTTTGTATGCCGATAGAAACAGCCCTCTTAATCTATACATGTGTACATCCAAAGAACCGCACAAAATTTACAGACTTAAGAGGTTTACTTATTTTAGGTGAGGTAAAACAAGACTGAAAAGAGTGTTAAAATGCAGAAATTTGCAGTAAAAAGATTCAAATTCAAACAAATGTATTCCAAAGCTAGGATTTTCACTAACATTTAGGTCGAGCACTGTGATAAAAAAAAAAAGCCAAAACCGAAGAAAAAGTTTGGTAAAGTATGAAAATTGTGTTGCATGCAAAACCTTTCAAAATGGGTAAAACAAGACCCAACAAGTGACAAAATTTGGGGTAAAACCTTTAAATTTGGGTAAAGAAAACCCCACAAATGTGTTCAAATGCCAAAATTTGGGGTAAACACAAAGAATATTGGGTAAGAGTTAATAGAATAGGTAAAACTAAAGAAAGTGTGTTAAAATGCAGAAATTTAAGGTCAGAACAGCCCTAACGCATAAGTCATTCAACAAATTTGAGGTTTTTATTTAAAGAAACAATCATCATTACATGCTCCTGCTCATGCTCATACTCAGCACCACACACCATCTTCAAACTCGGCCTTAACTTTGATCTCAGTTACACACCTTTAAGGTTTCGTACCTGCATCCTGCAGGGTCTGATGCTATCACTCTGACTTCATCTAAAAAGCAAAAAACAGACAGACAGACAGACATCTAAACACTTGCCAGATTAATCAGAACCATCTCTGTGGTAGTTTCCGTGCAATTACACACATGCACACACACGCACACACACACACACACACACACACACACAGACTATAAAGGTTAACACAATACCAGCCCCGCAGTCACACCTGGTTATAGATAATCCAAAGACTCTTTAGTCAGTAAGAAATGATTATTTCTTGAGAATAAAAATCAATTCCTTCCATTTTTCATCATATAGGACGATGCATTCCTGTGATAAAGAGGGTTCAGAAGGATTTATGTGACCTTCTGGAATGACTTTGACTCAACATTTGGAATTTCATAAATTATCTTCAGCCCAGAGTTTAAGTATTTTGCACCCCCATATATCTCCTTGTCGGCAGGGTTTGGTGTAAGATTTTCTTTCCACAGATGTATGTTTCAGAGGGGAGTCTCCTAAAGGGGAACTGATCATACAATTACTACACCTCTACTAGCTCTCAGTAGGGAAGATTGGTGAAGGGCTATTGGATGTGTTTTCACTACTTTCACATGCACAGACTTACAGCCATATAGTGTAAATGACATGACATGTTTCTTTTTTTATGTTTACTTCACACTCATCGTGTATACATGCATATATGCAGAAGTCAGTGATGTCTTGCTTCACTCAGCCACACAAATAGTCATACTGGGTGGGGATCTGTTCAACTACAGTGTGATCTGAGCCTCGGTTGGAAAAGCTCAAAGAAAATGAAATGCCACCTCCAGGAACACCACTGGTGTGATATATGATGCACAGTTGAGTACCGGACACCTAGCACAAGCACTGATATTATGTCCCTCTTGTCTTGCCATCCACAGATCCAGGGAGCCATACTGGTGTCCTCCCTGCTCCAGATCATCCTGGGCTTTTCCGGGCTGGTGGGCCTCGTGCTCAAATTTATCGGTCCTCTAGCTATCGCTCCCACCATCAACCTCATTGGCCTGTCGCTGTTCATTGAGGCTGGAAAGAAGTGTGGCGGTCACTGGGGAATAGCTGCTCTGTGAGTGGAGTGATGTTTTACAACACTATGATGTATTACACAACAAAGAGGAACATGTTGTAACAGTGAGGGATTTATCGTATGTGCAGTCTGTCTAACTCCTGGCTAATCCAAAAATGGGCAAAGAGGTGTGGCATGTGTGGTGCGTGCAGAGGCAAGCATATGTTCCCGTTAGCATCATTAGAGCAGCTATTTGTCTTGCACGAAGGCTAACCCACGACCGAGAGGTCACATTCAGTGTGAAGCCGAGCAGACAGCTAGCAGCTAGCCAACTTTGATGGCACCCATTTGTCATTCAAAGTGGCTATGCCCTCAATTATACATAACTTTAAGCCTTAATAAAAATGTAAATGAATAAGTTGTATAAGAATTATTAATTTTTTATATTAAAAAATGCCCATGGCAGAAAATACTAAAGAAAACTCGCCGGCAGCTGAGTATTCATTCCGGCTAGTTGCTGCCACATAGTGAAATTCATCGCATTGCTTCAAGACACACTACATCGTTGATACACACCTGATCGACAAAATTCTCAACGATCAATTACCGAATTACCGATCATCGATTAATCCTTCCCCATCCCTAATCTCAATACAAATATACTTAAAAGAAAAGGTAGTTTGAAGATAAAATCAAAACCAACGCAAGAGAAACAGGAGACCTAAGAGAAACTGAGTAAAACCAGGAAGTGTGTTAGTGGGTGAACATTGACAGAATCTTAAGGCAACCTCAGACTGAACTCAAAGCAAAGTCTTGAAGTTAGATTTAAACTTGTCAGTGGTGGGACAGGACTTAATGTATGACAGGAGACTAGTCTAGACCCCGGGGGCAGCAAGAGAGAAAAACCCAGTCACCTTTGGTTTTAAGGTGTGAGTGGAAACTTGTTGTGAAGATGACCTCGGTGACCCTTCATAAAAAAAGTAGTAAATTTTGAGTCAGTATTTCACTGGTAATGTGTTTTTTTGTTTTGCTTTTTGTCTGTGTGTGTCTGACAGCAGCATTTTCAGCCCATTCGTAGTCGATAAAGGGGGGATATGGGGCAGCCCCACATACAGGGAATAAGAGTAATCCAGCTGATTCCAGGTCCCTCTGAGGAAAAACACGCCTTTTAATTTGGCTTCAATTCAAATTGTTTTTCTTTTAACCTCATTGTGTGAATTTGTAGTTAGGGGAGGGAAGGTTGTAATGTTTAGTTTGTGTTGTAATTGTTTCAAAGAGGTGGTGATTCAACTTTATGGTCATTTCCCATACAGAAATATAATATGTGACAAATATGTCCCTATATGAAGAGTGATGTAGCCTCAGGGGATATATTATTATCACATATATACATCCTCTGGATATATGAAGATATAAGTTTATAACATAAAGACCTATTATATATTAAAAGATATCTGTATGAAGATTTTTTTTTTTATCACATATGACATGTTGCAAACATAGAATATATATTTAATTCATACATGCAAGTTTATTAAAACAACATACATATAAAAATTCTATAAGCTTATATATGTTTTCTTATGAATTTCTTAGTAAAATGTATGTATGTATTCCCATTCTGGGAAAGTGGTGTATATAATAGTGTATATAATATCAACATGTGTTGACAGGCTTTGGGATGGATATATATGTGTATCGTAATAATATAATCGTAATTACATAAACATACACATTTGTATGGGCTAAACTTATATGTCAGTTTATGAATTTATTACAATTTCTAATAGATTTCAGTTTTTTTCAGTTTTTACATATGTGCTTTTATTTTAAATATAAATATATCCAGTATATTACATGATTATATAGTGGTGCTGTTGAACTGTATCACATTATACTGAGTGGTGTCTCCAGTATTTAGTCTGTCCCGAATGATAGGGTGGACAAAATAGTACGGGTGTGTTTACTTAACTGTACGTCTGTCCTATAGCTTCAGCAGATTAGGAGAGATGAAATTGCAAGACTTGATTGATATGATAAGAGTAATGTGGCTACATTAGTGAAAAAACTACTTCAGATTTTAAAATTGCAAATACAGTTATGTAAGATAAGATACTTGAACACATGGGAAATGAATAACATTCCCAGACAAATGAGTCTTGTCCAGTTTGTCCATCTTGTCGTTCCTCGCCAATAAAATGTAATTGTCATGTTTCTACGCTGCATTCATTCACTATGTATTTGCCTGTTTTCCTCTTCTCTTTGTTTCTTGATCAAAGCAGTGATGTCCACTATCTAAATCCACCTAATCTCCACGACGACTGCTAATGGACCTCACCGCTCCACATTAGCTCTCCTTTCATTTACCTTTGCCCCTGCCCTGTCCAGACCCATGAAACCTGTCTTCATTATCCCACTGCCATCTCCAGATAATGCAGACTAAAGCCATTACACAGAGTGATCCTTGTGGGTTTTAAAAGGTTAAGCACATCCACATCCTGGTGCCGTATATGGATGGTAATCAGTCATATCCCTCTTAGCTCTCCCGGCCCACGCTGCAGGGGAGCTCGGAGGCCCGGGAGGTTCAGAGTCTCCCAGCATGAGACAGTCGTGAATGGAGGATAAAACCCGTGATATCAAATCAGCATCTTCTGCATCTCTCTCTCTCCTCTGTCTGTGTCCTGCTGTTTCACACAAGAGCGATTAAGTTTTCTTGGAATTTTTTGTCCTAGCACATATTTGTCATTCCGAACATCAAACTACGGAAGACGCTGAGACGGATTTTGCTGATTTTGCTGCTTCTGCGTTCATTAGTTTAACGTGGATCAGTGTTTCAGCTACAGCGTAAATGTTTAAATTGGATTTGAATGACTTGCTCGTAATGTGGGACACAGCACAGTGGAGCTGAGAGAACTCATTCCTCTCTCTGGAATAGAATAAGCCTTTTTTTTTTCTTTCTTTTTTTTGTATGTCCAGTAAGTTCGACCTGTCCAAGTTTTCAGCAGGCTGCAGACTTTCCCACTGAAATGACCTGCACCACGGGGACCTGCATCTTAAACCTCGAGTAGTATTTCATGCACAGTGTGCGGTGTTTTCACTCACAGCGTGAAGCGTTTCATGTGCAGCATGAAATGTCATTCGAAGGCAGGGAACTGTGTATTTTACAATCTCATAATGGCCACCTTCACCACACCATTACTTACCCATAATCCCTTCATGATGACAAGTATCATATAGGCCTGTCTCCTGTGCAAAATTACATGCTTTCACTTGTTGTGATGTGATATGATGTGTGGAAGCATGCTGTGTTTAAAGCGCAGCTACAGGGGCCTTCGCAGGAACGACTGTGTGTGACGCATTTTGTCCTGTCTTCTCTTTTTCCCACAGCACGGTCGGCCTGATCCTCCTGTTCTCCCAATATCTCAGCAAAGTCGACGTCCCCATGATCGCATACAAGGATAAGAAGTGGAAGGTTTTCCAGTATCCGCTCTTCAAGCTGTTCTCTGTGAGTTGCCAACACGATCCAGCTCTCAGACGTTCTGCTTGGTTTTATATCATGGAGAAAAAAAACAAACGATTTTCATTTCAGGATCCCTGGCCCATAAAACCTGTTTATAACCTCCTTACTTTTACTTTTTTCACTCATAGACAGACACACACACACAGATGCAAATGTAAAACACTAAAAACACAATGTTAACACCAGTTTTACTGTCCTCAAACTATCTTTTGTATATATACGATATAACCTCTTTGCTTTGTTTCAAAACTATACATTTTAATGAGAATTCAGTATCAAACCAAAGTCTGTCCACTATGCAAGATAGATAGATAGATAGATAGATAGATAGATAGTGTCCTTACGATGACTGACGATGTAGATCTTTCAGACATGTTTTGTTTGTATTTATTAAAAATGACAGAATGAAAGATAAAACAGTTGATTACAGTGAGCTAGATGATTGTTTTATATTCTGAACAAATGCAGCTACATTTTCAGTTTAAATGAAAATATATTCCACTTAGTGGAAATAACGTGGCAAGTGATGGGCCACCCCAGTAACTCACCAGGTAGAGCACGTATTGCCCAAAAAATATTTTTGTTTAAATGAAAGGCAAATTATCCATGGAGCCGGCATGTACAACTAGTTTTAAAAAAAAAATGAGTCGGCCCGAGAAAATAGTTTGTTTGACCTTTCACAGTGGGTAACTTCGCATGTCACGGAGGCCTGGAAGAGGAAATACTACTCATGTGGAGAAGTCCGTGTGTAGCGCTGACAAGAAGAACGTTTTATGAGGATATTTCACACACACGCAGCCCCATTTGTAAACCCTTCAACTACAGCTCTCTTGTGTTCACGGCCCCCACCTGTCAGGTAGTGATCGCCTGTGGTGATCAGAGAGTTTTTACATGTGTTTTATTTAACTAACGTTCCTGCAGTTGCATACCTTGTCAGTATGAGAGCCGAGCAGCACAACAACAGTCCTCTGCTGGTCGCTGTCAATCAGACGGAAACTCGGCGGATGCATGCTGCTTTTACATGCAGAGGTTATACATTATTTACACTGCGAACAGAGATCTGTATATTTCTGCACTGAGAAAAAAATATACATCGTCACTGTATAAGACTGACCTTTCTCCGTTCATAAACAGGACATTGTCCTTTCTCTTCAGCAACAGCCAAAATAAATACCGTTCGCTCTGAAGCTCCTGGGCGGGAATTTTTATAACTTCCTTCAGTGTTGACTGATGTCGAGGAAAGACAGCGTTCTAATGAAATACTGACTCAATAAATAAAGGTTAAAAAGAATGACAAGAACATCAAACTGAAGAGAAGAGGCCTCTTCAGAGAACTAGAGACCTCTGAGCCACTTTGGCCTCAGGGTTCAGTCTCTGGAATGTTTCACGTACGGCAGGTCTACGCATTTTGACAGAATGAGTCATATGTTGTGACAGCCAGCAAAAAACTAAATATATAAATATTTCCTCTCTAAAGGTTAAGTTACCTGTTCTTCAGTATCGTCAACTTAAGCCATACAATACATAAAATGCGGCACTCTTTACTGTGAAGGAATGAAGCCAATAAAGCATAGACACACACTGTCTTATTTGTCATTAAGTGCACTTACAATGCATGATACACTTTGGTACCTAACTCACATTAGATGCATAATTTGTTGTTTGACTGCGACTCTTTCGCTTCATTAATCCTGAAAAACAGAAACGGAAGAAATATAAAGAGCGCACCGCCTTCCAGCTACTGGTCTGACTCTCCTCAAAGAGGCCTGCGAATGACAAAAGCGTTTTTTGTGCACAGCTCTGTGCTCTGTACCCAAAGCATGTTGTATGAAGAGGCACACAGGCTCAAATTTAACGCAATGTATCAACAGTAAAGTGCTGAAATTCGTTATTAAATTAGATTCATACTAATATATTTGAATGATGCAATAAAGGAGTTCCTTTGCAGAAACCTATGCTCCAGAATATACTCACCCTGACAGCTGTGGTTGCAGTTATGGGTGAACCCAGGAATAAACTGTCACTGTTTTTATGATAAAAAAAGTAATGTAATGTTGACTGTTTTTGGTCTTTAAAACATGTACACATGCACCAGACTTCAGGAAAAAAGAATTAAATTTATAATAAATGATGTGGATCTGACCCAAAAATGTAATGAGTTCTTCCCCGGCTCATGCCCCATGTCTCCAACAAGTAAGGTGCAAATCGGTTCAGTTATTTTTGCGTAATCCTGCTTGGCAGAGGTAATAAGAGTAGGGTATGTTTTGTGTTGGATGAACATTACTTTATATGTATTGTACTACGATTTCTAGGCTTTGTTCGGGATGTGCGGCGGCTGGCTGGTCTGCTTCTTACTGACCATCTTTGACGTCCTGCCTTCGAAGTCTGATGAGTACGGCTACTCAGCCAGGACCGACATCAGTCTGGAGGCTGTGACGAACTCTCCATGGTTCCACGTGCCTTACCCAGGTAAGTGCATAAATTTTAGGACATATTTTAGATCTTGGGCTTTTGCTGAAATAAATGTCAAATTATTTTACCAAAAATAATTTGAAACTGCTGAGTACCGTGATTCCTATTATTTATTCCACTCGTCTGCCACCCACTCTTTAATTTTCAGCTTTGACAAACATCCAAACCAAACGCAAACAGTGGACATTTTGAAGTCCAGCTGAGGGTTGCACAACTGCTCTTTAATGATCCGCCAAAATGTTACAAAATCTCTTGGAGAAAATGAAAATGATGCGCCTTTTCTTCGACTGCTTAAAGTCTATCTCCTGATATCTTCTAGTGTCTGAAATGGGATGGTGATGATGACACATATACTCAGTGACGGAACAGAACAGGCAGCCTCCTGAGAAAAGGTTATTTGGCTACGACTTAACGTTAAACAGGACTGTGCACGAGCAGCTATAAGAAAAATTCTACAACCTTTGCATCGATTTTCAAAGCCAGTCATAATAATCATTTAAGTGCTTCAGCGTTTTCATCTCATAACAGTGATATATCTTGGTACATCCTCTTTGTTCTGCCAAATATTGAATGAATATGTCTTTCAAAGCCTATCTATAGATTTGTGGAGTTCAGGGAACTCATTTGCAGGGTTGGTTTGATGTCAGTTTTCTTATTCATTACTACGAATGGGAAAGTCAGTTTTATGGCTTTTTGATTATTTGCACATGGCACCTGCTGTTTAAAGAGGGTACATTCATTCTGACCCTGAAATCCACATTTGAAAAGAATGAACAGAGCTTTTTACACAATGTTTTTGGCAGCACTTTGTATTACTTAATGTGCATAAATGGTTATGAATTAAGGATATTTACAACAACAACAACAAAATAAAACTGTGCTGTTTTTACTTTGTTATCCTACTATGAACCCAAACCCCTTCCACATGTGACATTTTTTTATTGCGGATGGGCTGATTTGACAGTGATCAGACAGACGTTTATAATGTGGCTGTTAAATAGGATTACGCAGGATGTCTAGGGCTAATGAACTGCCATTTGGGGATGAGACAAAGCTGATGCGTCTCTATCACAGGTATCAAATTTACAAACAAATCTAATTATTACTCTGCAAATTTTGCTCAATCCAGATCTGGTATTTTAGCAGGGTTTTATGAAAATGAATACGGACACATGTTTTTATTCATGTGGGGCCTGAGGCATTTTTATGTGACTGCATGCTTTTGCATGCCTTTAAAACGTGCTGGATTTAAGCAATTAATCCTAAAAAAAAAAACACATTATCCGCATCATCAGCTCCAGGCGTTGGCACAAATGCCTTAAAGGTGTCGTTTTGAATGTTATCGTTAACATTTGACACCTTTACCTGTGGATGCCTGGCTTCAAGTCCAAACTGGTCCTGTGTTTGATAACTTAAATGTTATATAAACTTGTCTTTACATTAGAAAAACTATATGTTTTGCCAAAGGGACATCGTTCCTGTTGTGACGTGCATAAAAAGCTGAAGATACAATATCGGGATAATGCAGAAAAAATAAGACCACAGCAATATTCACAGTAAACTGTCTAGGGATAGATATAACACATGTCAGCGGAGGTTTTACTCGTACCTCCCAGTATCACGTATACTGTGTCATATGCTTGTAAGTACGAGCACAACCATTTACATGTACACAAGGGTGCAGCAAGGTTCACAATAGAGTATTTAAGACCGTAAATACAGCTGGGGCAACAGTTTCTTTGGGAGGTAATGGCCTGAAGAAAATGTGTTGACAGACCAGGAGGGGATGGATCTAAATGGGACCCGCTTTAGAAGTGCCCAAGGTGTTGAAAATGTCACTAAGATAATATGGCCTGCACCGTTACTGCTTTCTTCATCACATTTTCTTCTTGGGAGACAGAGCCTTTCAAATTGTGCCAAGAAAATCCTGAGTGGAAATTTACAAGTTTTTTTTTTTTACAAGTGTTTCCATTTTGCTAAAGTGGAAAGGTTTGCGTATGAAAAAAGGGCTAATGAACTGCAATAACGGCTAATGAAAACAGACGTATGTAATGCATCCTCCTCTACTTTAGATGAAGCATTCATGTCATGTTATGTTGCGCCATCGTTGTCTCTTTTCAGACTGCACATCTGTATATTTTTAGTTAATTGTATGATGTTTTGTCTGTTGTTTTGTGTTGTTGTCTCTTCCTAGACTGTACGTCACAATCAATGCATTTGATATATGCATACTCTACTTTCATACCTATAGTGTATTGTGGTTTTATGATAATGAAAACTGACTATTTTATTTAAGCTGTACATGTAAAAGACCAACAAGGGTCAAGAGTTTAGAAATTAGCAAGAGCCATAAACTCTCAATGATGTTTGCAACACATCAGTTTTATGCTTTGTTTTGGAACTATGTTAAATTGCACTGTCCCTATTAAATAAATAAACAAGCCAATAAATATATATATATATATATATATATAATAAAATAAACTAAAAAAAAAACCAAAATGTAATAATTAACTAATTTTACCAATTTTTACATGTGTCCAAAACAACGCTGGACTCAGTCATTATCAAGGACCTGATCCCTCACTGACTTCCCACCCTGATACATTGGGTTATATTGAAGATGGAGGCATCACCTGGGTTTAAACCTGGGTTCATGTTACCCTTGTACCAACCATTTTGTTAAAAAAAAAAAACACATTATGCTGATTCCATTTCAACTTACTGCTAATGGAAACCAAACTCTCCCAGGAGGTTAACCATGTACTCTGTGGAGATGGAGACTTTCCTTTAAAATGGAAGTGTGTTTCTTTACTTTGTTCTGAGGGTCATATGTGATATGTTATCAAGAATTAAACACATTTTTAATCAGACACAAAGTAAAACAGCACTATATAAATAGCGCAGCCTTGTGGAGGGCCGGTGTTAGATACAACGTGATCAGAGAGCCAGTATCCCACAGCTGTAAAGTCAATTGTGTGAGGAAATTTATAATCCTGAAAATTAGTTTTCTGCTGGGACTGTTGGAACGAGTTCACACTGTTAAAATCTTGCAAAATGTGAGGACATAAGATCTTAGCATGATATTTGGATCTGTCCAGATGTTTGTATAATGGCATTGCGTCATATAAACCAGATGTTATGTTCACTGTTTGTCTATAAATCCATCAATTCTTTAGGAGCAAAACATATCTTTGTCCTTTAAGCCTCCTGGCCTCCCAGATCATCTCGTAGCAGCGTGCTACCCATTCTCTCAGTCAATATATTGATCATTCAGTTACTGTGCTACAATCGATTCATTCTTTAAATGTAAAGCTGTGTGTCTAAGCTAAAGTATGCCATTTCTGTACCCACAGGTCAGTGGGGTATGCCCACAGTGAGCGTATCGTCAGTGCTTGGTATGATGGCAGGCGTCTTGGCATCTACCATGGAATCAATCGGTGACTACTACGCTTGTGCTCGCTTGTCCGGTGCCCCTCCACCACCGACTCACGCCATCAACCGAGGCATCGCTGTGGAGGGCATCGGCTGCATCCTGGCTGCGCTGTGGGGAACTGGAAACGGCACCACGTCCTATAGCCAGAACATTGCTGCACTTGGCATTACCAAGGTACAACTCATTTTGATCTCTGGTGTTTTAGGGCTCTTCAAAGCTTCATTCATTGATCTTTTTGGCCACTGACAAACAATTGACATTTGAATAATTGGAAAAAAGCTGTAATTGAATTAATAAAGTAATGAAACAGCTACAGTATAAACCTCATTGCTCTCACAATGTGTTTTTTTTTGTTGTTTTGTTTTTGTTTTGATTTGATTGATAGCAAGAGAAGGACCCAGTTCCCTCTGCTCTGACAGAGAAACAGTTGTTCCTTCATGCCTCTGTCAGCGAGGCACTTTGACGTCTAGCAGAGCGTTCTGATGATTAACTGCCCCGCGGCACTTCCCCCTTGGAAGACTCCCCGCTGCTGTCCTTAGTGCTGGTACATTACGATGAATACTCAAATGGACTTTTATGAGTTCAATCATTCAAGGACCCAGTGAGAGGCGTGCAAGGGTCACATCCCGGGAGACTGCACTGTGATCTTCTGTTATAAGTTCTGCCGCGCTTTGAGGTGTAGTTATTGGAGTGATCCGTCTGTGCCTTACTTTTCTAAGTAGCATTGAGTTATTTTTAATCATGGAAGTGAAGGAGGGCAGATTGAGGGACTGGTGGAATGCACAAATAATGTTGATTTATTTGGAATTAATATCCGTCTGGCTGGGAGGTTTTTTGCCTACTTTTCTTGTAATGAGAGTGAATTTATGTTTATGGCGTAAAATACGCTTATAATCCATCTGCTGTGGGCATGAACCATAATCCATCCGCTGTGGGGATAAAGCAGGCGTTTTAAATTCGAAGAATAGAGCGTTAATGAAGTTATTCTGTTACAGCATGATGTTTATATACAATGTCATTTGAAATTGACTTAAAATGTCATATTAGGAGCTTTGATTTCTGTGTAATGATCATATGACTGGGACTGACTGAACGGGATTGTTTTTCAGTAGCCTAAAGCATGAGATTAGCTCAGTTCACAGCAACACCACAGATACACACAGACGCAAATCCCAAAGTCAAAAACATTTACAGACAAGAGAAACCTGAAATAGGAAAAAGCAGTTGTTTATTTAACAGATTCTTATGTTGGAAAGTGTGTTTAACCGTGTGTCGTTTGTGTTTTTGTTGTTTTCATGTAACGTCTTTGGGGCTGCCATTTTGGCCAGTTTCGTCGATTCGTATCTCATCAGACCGTCCTGGTTTAATAAAGGTCAAACGCAAGTATAAATAAAAATATATACATGAGAACAACCACGAGTATGTCATGACTTCTATCATCATTTGGGCGGACAGAGACCTGTAGTGTCGCCGAAGGGAGCAGGGCGAGCGGGGTCAGATATAATTTAGCTTGATCTTTTGATTACGGTCATGTGATACAATTAATGGGAGAGGATGATTTATTGATTGGCTGCTGCAGTTGTTTGTTGTTTGTTTGTTTGTGAGCCTCTCTGTCTCGCTGCTGACGAGGGACATAACATAAGTGCTGGTCATATATTACCGGAGGACGAGTAACTGTTTGGTGGGGGGTGGGGGGTGGGGGGTCCATTTCATATCCGTTTCACTATCTTTTTGCAAAACACTCGACCTTGCTCTGAGAACTTCAACAGCATGAATGCAGTTGCGTTGTTCCTGGAACTGGGGGAATAATAACAAATTGCTTTTGTGAACACAGAGATGTAGAGTATACTGCGCACCTACCTATGGAATTTGAACCAGCTGGTTTTGAGTGACCTTTGACCTTTCTTCTCCACTGGCCTGCTATTAGCTTTGCTTCTGCTGCAAAATGACAGGATAATTACTATGACAGTTGAAGTAAGAAACCCCGACCACTTCTCATGTCAGCATTCTACTATAACGTGTAAAATAATCGCCTGTTTTCAAAAATATCACAAAATTGAAATTGTCCATACAGAAGAAACAGAAAAAACTGCACCAGTAACGATGAGTATCACAGAGATGAAAACATCCATGAAGATGCCTTGCCGTATTCTCCTGGCACAACACAGACAATGTTCACACTGAGGAGACTTTGTATGTATTCATTTGTATTTTAGTGGAATATTTCACTAGCTTGGTATGTAAAAAGTATGTAGCACTGAGCCAAGGTCACGTGTGTTGTACCGAAGCTCCTCTTAAATAACAGCCTGTCTTTGAATGACACTGCCTCCCACCTCAGATAAAAAGCCTCTGCTACTAGTAAATGTTTTATGGACTCTGCTGGCTTGACCTGAGGCTGCTTTCTCTATTGTCTTATATACATCCAACTCAAAATATCACCTCAGATGAAACTGATAGTCTTTATTAAAGGTCCCATATTTTACACTTTCCCTGTGTTTTTTTAAATCCATAAAAAGATTTATTGTGGTTTAAAGTACCAAAAACCGTCCCAAAGTAATCTCCTCTCTTCAGACTGATTGATTAAAAATATAGCAGATTTCAGGTAAAACACTCAGAGAAACTAAATCTTGCAAGGTTCGATGGTGGGTCCAGGTGGGCGGGGCTTGGTGACTGCTTTGTTGTGACATCATAAAGTTCCAGAAGTCCTGACGGCTGGTTTTAAGGCTCAGTCTCTGAATACAGGCTGTGTGCATTTCTCTGTGGACTGAGGCTTTGATACTTTCACAGTATCAATATAGAAGCTAGACCTGATCTAGGATGCACCATCCTGGTAAAAAAATAAATAAAGGTGGCATGTTGAGAATGACAGATTAACCCATCTTGTGTATGTATCTGTTTTCCTTTTTGTCCAGGTTGGCAGCCGGCTGGTCCTCCAGACGACCGGCATTCTCATGGTCGTCCTGGGAATCTTTGGGAAGTTTGGAGCAGTTTTTATCACCATCCCAGACCCGGTCATTGGAGGCATGTTCCTTGTTATGTTTGGGATGATCGCAGCAGTGGGGATATCCAACCTTCAAGTAAACACATTTCAATATTGCAACATAATATTTTCATCGTATCTTATTTTCATAGTATGATATATTTTATTTGGTGGACACTTTATCCAAACGTCTGCTGTATGGAGTATTGAGACAGCACATCATTGTAATATTAAGACCCTGAGACACAAAACATCCACCCAACTGAAAGGTCCTATAATTAAACACTGAATCTCGCTGGCTCTGACACTGTGAGGGTAAAAGAGAAGAATCATACGGATCAATTAATAAAAATAAACTTTATTTGTGCAGCTCAAAGTGCTGAAAAAATAATTGATAGGTTGCAGACAAACACATGAAAATCCATCAAACAAACTAAGAAACAAATCAAACAAACAACAAAACAATCAGAAGGGTGAGTGATCAGCTGCATGTCAGATTTAATGCTGTAAAATTGCTCTTGCTGCGTGCACATGGCAGTTACTGGCCCTCAAGAGTCCATGACACATCTGTGAATGCCTTCCAGGCGTGGTAATACACTTTACTTTTAGGAGTGTAGTTGGGAAAAAGCCAAAGCAACGGGGAACCTAGTGGGCTGTGATCAGTTGTAACCCTGAGATATTTCTATGTGACTCAAGCAGGATGTACCAGGGCAGGTCTTGGTCTAGGCACTGTTGCTCATTAAAACCACCCACAGATAAACTTGCATTAGAAGAGTATTTTACTTTGGATACATTTTCCGAGTGGAAAAAAATTAAAATAAAAAATAAAAACATTACCAGCGTTCTCTAATTTTTGCAAACAGAGAGGTAATATAGGATTTATAGACCTTTTAACAGCAAGCAGTAGGCAGAGCAACAAAATTTATCTCTTCCTGTATAAGTGTCACAGCATCACCCTTTACATCCAGCGTAAAAAGTTATTTAAAGCAGAAATCTGACAGAAGAATGTGTGACTGCTGTGCAAATGTTGAAACTGCTCTTTTAACCTTTTAATGATCAGTGTGAAAAACAGTGCAGCAGGAGAAGGGTTTGAAGAAGGATTTTGCTAGAAAATGCAAGTTGAAATACGGACATACTGGCAGCTTTGTAAGCCGTGACTTGGGGGCGTAGAGTGTCAAAGTCTCACCCAGCCAGTGTATCATTTCCTGTGAAGGGTTTCTTTCATCTGCTCCGGATAAAAGGATCAAACGTGATACAATGGTGTTCGTCCACATTCTCATCACTATTTTGTTTGTCCACCCGGTTTCAGGTAAAGGTGTCAAAACCTTGTTCGCTCAGGAAACCCCAGTATCACATTTCGGTTTTCAAGAAAAACCAATGAAAGAAACCCTCATAATACATTTAGAGCTAAAGCTAATGGAGGCTAATTCCGATGTCGGGCACGTCGGCTCTTTATTAATCAATAACTGGGTCATTTTGTGTAACAGGGCGGGGAAAATCTTCCGTCTCTCCATAAACCTGGTTGCCCCCGTTCTGACCTGTGTTAACCTGTCGTAACCAAATAAATGTGAAACCTTCCCTCAAATAGAATTCAGGTCTTTTTTGGAGTCTCGGATTATTTCTAATCACATTTTAGTCGAGATCCAAAACAGATATGGCAGCCATCTGAGAGAGAACAACAAAATAATGGCTTGCATCTGAGAGTCAATAAACCAATTTAAATAAATTTGTATCACATAATCTCTTTCTCTATCTCTGTCTCTCCCTCTCTCCCACTCTCTCTCTCTCTCTCTCTCTCTCTCTCCAGTATGTGGACCTGAACTCGTCCCGTAACCTCCTCATTCTTGGCTTCTCCACCTTCAGCGGTCTTGTCTTACCTTCCTGGTTTCACTCCAATCCTGGCATCATCGACACAGGTGATTTCCGCAGAGAACATATACACACACACACACACACACACACACACACACAAACACACACACATAAAGTATGTGTGTGCTCACTAAATCAGTCCCTTAAACTTGGAACAACCCTTAATATTATTTATTGTTTATTTATACCACGCTCAATGACATTTTCTGCCGTCACTAACACACACACACACACACATAAAAACTGGAATGTTCTTGTACCAAAATAGTCTAAAACAGTTTGTCTTGCTAATTTATGGAGGATAAAATGCAGAACTTTGATGAGATGTCGGGCGGAGAGGCGTGCTGTGAACTCTGGGAGAGCTGAAGGAGAGAACAACTCTGTCGCTACAACCTGAAACTCCCCATGCTGTTTTTATCTGTTTGACCCAGGTTTTTGTCTCTTACATACATGTCACCAGACCCAAGTCAGAGGGCAAATGGATAAGGTCGACACAAACACACACACACACACACACACACACACACACACACAGTAGAACTGGTTTATTCCAATGTTCTTCAGAAAAGCAGCAAATACATCACATTTGCTCGTCAGATCATCAGATCAGCTCACCCCAGTTACTGTTAACTTCACTGCCTCTTCCACTTCTCTTATTATTTTATCTGGCAACTGACAAGAAACTCACACTGGAACAGATTTGATCAGATCAGTCATGATGCCTTAATAATATTTATAATTGTAATCCGATAAAAATAAGATGAGATATACTTTTATTGTCCCATGGGGAAATTTGTACCACACACACACACACACACACACACACACACACACACACACACACACACACACACACAGCTACAACCAACTGTGACACATGTTTTGTGATGCTGTGCTTTTATTTTGACAACTAAAAAAGGAAATTCATCTTAAGTCTGACTGACTCCTTTTTGTTTGTTTTTGATAAAACAAAGACAGACTCAGTAATCGATGCCAAAAAAACAAAAAGAAAAACACACCCATGCTGTTAATCCTTATCGGAGGAGCGGCATGGTCCTCAGACGGAGGCTGTGTGTGTTCCCACTGCTCTGCTAACAGATTACCCTTGAAAACATGGCAGCGGTTCTCCCAGCCTAAGCTCCTGAGGTCAAGGTGTTCCCAAATCCCAGAGGCCCAGATGGCAAACCCTTGGTTACCTTTAGTCTTTAGCCCAGATTTTAAAGTGGCAAGGAAGAACCATTTTAATAGTCTTACCTGAGCCTGAACCCTGAGTATTATTATTTTTTTGATGTGTGTGTGTGTGTGTGTGTGTGTGTGTGTTTCTTTGTTTGTTTTACCCCAAACAGGCAGTTTCAGGACGGGAATGTCAGTTGGTTTGTAGCTCAGTTGGTCAGGTCGTCGGTCACGTGGGTTTCAGTGGGGTGTGAGGAGCCGTTGGGCCTGTAGGGGGTACTCGAGGGGCTTTTTTACACTCTTGATCTTGATTCTTTTCACAGTCACAAATGATTTTTTTTTTTTTTTTCTGGTTATCACTGGGGGGGGATATTAGGCCGGAGGTGTCATATTTATTCACAGTGTAATCGCGTGGGTGTTGTCAGTCCCTCTGAGAGTGTAACTGTGAGGCCAATTCACACAGGCTTTTCTTGAATATACATGACAATAGCTGCCTGGGAAAACTACAGTTACAGAACCAGCACTCTGATAACGGAAAAAAAAGGGATGTCCATTCATTAAAAACTCATTTTTAGATTGGGTTTTATTCTTTTTATGCTACAATTTTTCTTCATACTCGGGTATTTTTCTGAGGACAGATGTTACTGACCGACTTTCATGTATTCTTGAACCAGACGTCAGTCTATTTCGCAAATCATTGTAAATTAAAAAGTGCAGAAAAGTGAGAGTATTTTAAAATCATCCTGTTTTTGACTGACAACTGCCCTGCTGCTGGCTGATAGCTGTAAACTGAGTCACATAAGTTGTAAAAAGTTGTAATAATTGCAATAATTACTTGCGGCAGCTGTCGAAAAAGGTTCAAGAGAGAAAATAAGGGTGCTCAGATGACAGAGGGCAAAATTCACACATTACCACCCAGGTTTAATCTGGTTTAATCTGGGTCTAATCTGGGCTGGCTGCGTGTTCTCTTGAACACAAAAGGCAGTGGTTGCGGTTAAAAAGCCGGTGGATTATGTCTTTGTCACTTCATTACTGTCACTACTGGTTGGTGGGATCGGAAGGAGGAAGCTGAATTGTGGAGGAAAAAAAGCAGAAAAGGAAAAAAAAAATAGACTAAAAAGAAGTGAAATATCTTTTTCTCAATACTGAGAATGATCCGATTACTTAAAGAAAATATACACATGTAGTCATCACACGCACAAACATACACACAAGCAGCTAGAACCTAATTTATCTGATCCAGCCACGAAACATTAATCCAACAGATGAAATTAGACCGTGTGGAGCTTTTAAAAACACGAGTCTGATCAATCAGAGATGTGAGAAACAAACAGAGATCAATCGCAGCCTATCAGCTGATGGCTCCCTGCTTTTGATGACACATTGATCGGCCGCCAAGCATCTTCTTCGTGGCCACCTCCTATGAAGTGCCATCAAAAGAGCAATCCTCAAGATTAAACAGCTCTTCCCTGCAGACATAAGACCTTGATCCCATGAGTCATGTGATGCGAGTGTCTCCCAGGAAAGTGCTAATCCAGAGTTCAACACTGGGCATGAGGGTTTGTCTGGTTTTCTCAGGTCTAGGCTGCTTACCTCCCAATCCTCTTGGCTAGCCCCCATGTCACTGGCTGTAATCTGCCCAGCTCAGATAAAGCACTCTTGCCCACGAGTCTCTCCCCAGCCTCAACACTCATCTGATAGCTACGCACAAGAAGAAGCCTGTCAGTGCTCCCTGTAAACAAACTGCTGCTCATCCAGACGTCTTTAGATGTACAAGCTGTGACTTAAAATCAACTCAGCGGGTGCCTTGAACTTTTGACTGCTGCCTCTTTGGGCAGGAAATGTGTGTGTGTGTGTGTGTGTGTGTGTGTGTGTGTGTGTGTGCGTGCATGTGTCTCTGCATATGTGCGTGTGTGGCCTTTCTTTTTCGATATTGCTTGAGTCCGAAAACCAGGATCTTGTGGGGACCAGAATGATGGACCTCACAAGTTTAAATGGCTGTTTGAGGGTTAAGACTTGGTTTTTAGGGTTTAGGGTTGAGTAGATGTGTGTGTGTGTGTGCGTGTGTGTGTGTGTGTGTGTATATGTGTGTGTGTCTTGGGGTGGGTTCCTTGAACAAGAGTGTATTCAGAGACAAACCACGTCAGCACTGTTTGCAATTCTTGATTCAATTCGATACAATTTCATTAGGCAGTTTATTACCTAAGGGGCATTATGAAAACGAGGAATCGGGCATGCAGGCATCCACATGTTCAATGGCGCTCTGTATTCATCCATGTGCTGGTGGTAACACATGCCACATGAAAGGCCAACTCTGACTCAGGAAATTGGAGTGCCATGGTGGTCTAGTGATTACTGATACTGCTCCTCAGCCACCAAACAAGCCTCCGTGAGTCGAAGTATCTGGACTTTTCCTGTGGAATCCTGGGACTTAATTATCACAGCTGCCTAACGCTGCCAGGCCTGCAACACTACCTTAATGCGGGGGGGTTCAGTTCAAAGTACAAGAAAAGTTTGCTCTTTTTAATGTTCCCGTGTGTTGTAAATACTTGTGTTAAGATGAAGTGATGAAGATCAAGAAGAGAAAGATAACATGACACAAACACATCAAGAGGATATTTAAGCTTAAATAAGGCTTTAAGTTAAAGGGTCAGCTCATCCAAAAAAGATTCAAAAATAAAAATGTTCCCAGTATTTCGCCATGCAAGATAGCTTTGGTTTCTACACGGCCAGGCTTGAGATATCCATTAGCGATATCACTGCCTACACCAGCACAATGAATGTGAATGGAATATTTTCAGCAGTGCTCACAGAATAGAAGAAAGCTATTCTGATTAAACCTGTTAGACGCAAAGAAGAAGTTTCTGGCTTCACAACCTCACCTACTTCAAAGGTGCATGGAAAAAGAAAAGAAAAAAGTCCAGAGAGGTTAAAGCGCCCAGCCACACCTACAGTAAACAGGAGAACTTTATGGTTGTGGTTGTGTCCAAAATCTCAACAGCTCAAGGCCACATTAGCTATTACAAGTGTAATATATCCGAATCTCTGCCCGAGTTGCATTGTGGGTAATGTACTGTAGGCATCAGGTTTTGACAAGGAAGAAAGGATGCATTGAATCAAAAAGTTGATACTGCTGGTTCTGTTGCACTGATTTTGATCCCTTTTTTTAATAAACATACTGTTGCCATGTGCAATTTTTTTTCTGTGGGGGTTGGCAGGAATCCCAGAGGCATATAATGCAAAAGCAGAGCGCATAAAATCTAAATGATCTGCTACGCACATGAATACACCATGATTGTCAAGAATGAGTGTATCATTGAAATGACATATAAAGATTTAAATTATATACTCTATGTGACAATTTTGTTTTCTGACATGTGGAAGGAGTTAAAATTTCAGTGTATGGCTCAGAGGGTTCAACACACAGAGATATGGTTTGTCTGGCCAAGAAATCCAGAAAGTAGGTATGCGATCCATCCAACAGACGGATTGGAGCCAGACTGTGTGTGGATTGGCTGTTATCCTGTCCTACAGGATTTACTGTCAGGCCCCAGTTGCTGTTGGTCTTGGTTGGAGGGAGCTTGTATTTCTTTCAGTTTTAGTAGGCTGAACTAAAACTTGACCTCCTCCTTACAGGTGTCACAGCCTACAGGTTATTTCTGAAGACACTTGGAGACATTAATTTGCGTTTGTTCTTGTTTTTTTTGTTGTTTTTTTTGTTCGTTTGAAGGAATACAAGAGCTTGACCAAGTGATTGTGGTGCTCTTCACCACGCACATGTTCATCGGAGGGTTCTTTGGGTTCATCCTGGATAACACCATTCCAGGTTTGATAAAACTGTGTGTTGATAATGATAAGTTCTCAGACGAGCCCTAGCATCACTATCAGCTGAGCGTTTCTTTTCTTTTTCAGGTACTGAAAAAGAGCGGGGCATCAAGAACTGGCAGGACAAGGTGCAAGGGGAAAGCAAAAACATGTGTGACCAATCATGTTATGATATCCCCTTCTGCAACAGTGTTTTGAAACGGTTTAAATGTTTCCAGTACCTGCCCTTTCTCCCTGCTTACAAGACCAGCCAAGAGGGGATGTCCAAGTAATGAAGTGTGAACTTACAGAGTAGCAGTGATGCTGGTCTGTTAGCCCTATAAAGCCAAACAGTAGCTACTGAGCATTGAAAAACAGAGGAAGTGAAACTGGGAAAATGCATTAACAATGGGCTTCCTGTTGGCACAGTTGCTTTTATATACTTTTTGGTGATATAAAACTTCAGTGTGGGGCGATAGTGTTAACAACTGAGCCACTGTGACACTCTGCTCCAGTTTCCTACCACAGGTCAAAAACATAAACTTTTGTTGACTGGCTAAAATAAAATTTATATTCTAAAACTTTGTTTAAAACCTCTTAAACAAAAGCAACTGTTTGCCTTTATGGAGTAGTGAGCATCTTTATTCAGTCGGGGTACAACCAGCTGTGGCTTTAACCTTCTAGTTTGCATCTAAAAACCACCATTCACTGCAGACAGGGGTGCTGATGCCTCGCCCTAAACACATACTTCTGAGGGAATAAAAGATAACCCACAGTGAATGAGGGTCTGTTAAATAAACACTATATAATCTAAACCTAATAATTTCTTTATTTTTTTGTTCTTAAACAGTCAGACACTGATTTAAACTTTTTGATTGAATTAAAGAACAAAGTTGAGTTGCTGTGTCTCCTTACAGCTGGAATTCAACAAAATAAACCCCCTCCACATCATTTCCAGGTTAGTAAAACATTCGTAGTGCCTGAACAAGCAAAGAGCAGCATGATACACTGAGGAGAAGAATCATCAGTCTTCATGAAGAGCTCGCTAAGATATTAATTAGACTCACCTTTGATTTTTAAAACAGAGTGTCAAAAAGTATAGGCTACATCTGCGAATCTCCCTGAGTGAGTGAGTGAGTGAGTGAGTGAGTGACACCACTGACCGGCCAGCTGAGTGTTGGACTTTTCCCATTGGCCATTGCTCTTTAAAAATGATTTGGTGTGAACAGTTTTATTGCATCATCAGGGGGATGTTTACAGCGGATCCACAACAGTTTCCCATATCTCCTCAAATAAAAAAATATGACCAGGGCCTTTATTTGAGGCAGGCCTTTATTTCTAATCTCCTCTGTTTGATATCATTCCAGTATTTTATTCTGACGCCTTGTTTTGAGCCGCCTTGTTAAAATTTCTTCTTTACGAGTTAATTCAAACTTCCTGTTACCGTTTCAACTTAAAAGCCCTCTAGTATCTCAGTGGACAGGAAATCTTCATTTCTCAACAGGGCTTTAATTTCTATGCTGACGTGCTGCAAGAAGTGTATTGTCTCATTTCCCGTTGCTGCCAATTCCAGCCCACCGATGTTGCGACTCACAGTGGATTTCACTGTCAGCGTTCGTACTCCTGTGACAATATCCTACTTATTTTTGCGCTGACAGTACGTTGTGTTAAATAATAGTGTTGTGGCACACCTGGCCAAGTGGTGCTCTCCATGGTTCTGAAAGGGGGATTTAATTGTAGCATGTTAAACTAGCATTGACCCTTTTATTTTGTTGTGTATGATTGCATTCCCAATGTGTCCGCGTGAGGAAAGGAGAAGGAAAATAGTAGAAATTTTGCCCTGGACACAAGCGTATTTTTCAAAAATTGCACCATGCACACACCCATACACGGTCCAGCCATGTACTAGCTTTATACTTGGTCTTGTTAAAACCACATCTTTGCATTATTTATGTTTCAAAAATGCCACTGATCTCATTTCTACCAAAACCAAGTGGCTTTCACATAGAAATAAATTAATGATTCTTCACCGAACTGATGCACTGTTCCAATACAAGGCAAAAAAATATATACTTTAAAGCTGGGCACAATGTGTGAGCAATCGTTTATGTGCCGTGACGCTACTCTGAGGCTGCAGTTCAGGTTTTACGAATGTATTATTACACACACATTTTCAGTTGGATCATTACTACCTCATCAAGAACAGTTACTTACTGAAGCAGATAATTAATGGAGGGCTTTTTTATTAAAAAATGTATTATGTGATTTCTTTAAGGAGCTGTTTTCATTAACGTTATTAAGGTTACTGCTTTATATATTTAATTTTGTCTTTTTCCACTGTATAGAAGTGCATTTTTAAATATGATGCATTTATGTTGAATATTTGTTATTTACTAATTTTTATACTATAATTCTGAATCATTCCTAAACTGTGACAATAAAGAGTTGTTTATAAAGACTTAATGACTTAATAAAGACTTTCATCATCTTTCTCACTCATTTCAATTTGAGATTATTTTGGTAACGTATTTAATTTCTTATCTATCTGCATCTCCTTCTCTGCATTTACATGAGTATGTTAAAGTGCTCTTTTGGTATGAAATCAGGGGGATTTATTACATTGTCACCATAAGTGAAACACTTGGTACTCCATATGGTTTTTAAGATGTTTTCTTTTAAAGGCTGAGTCTGTGGCTCTGTCACGCTCTACCAAGGCACAGCTGTACTTTGAGCTAAATGCTAACATCAGCACGCTACCATGCAATGACAATGCTCACATGGTAACATCTATGAGTCTAAATCAAACCCCTTTAAATCTGCAATGACTGATTATTTTTTGCCACTTTGGGGCAGCATAAACAAGTTGTGAACACATCATTGACATATGATCACTTTTTAAGTCAATGTAGCAAGCCTGCTAGCAAACTGCTGCTTATTTACACATCCAGCTGTTACGGAGCAACATTATTATTCATTAGGTGTTACAACCCCTGAAGGAAATATCTGGCTCTTTAGCTGCTAAATGCTCCACTATGTTCATCAGATAGTCGCTTTTTGCTGCTGTTTGCTACCAAGCAGGTCGTGTCCAGTGGATTTTGCACAATGCTAGAGCAGTGAGAGTAAATTAAAACAGTAAAGTTGTGGCCTGGAGCTGAAGTGTTTGCTGTGAAGCTCTGAACTGCGGTCGAGTCATGATTTGGTTTGATTTCTCTTAACAACCGTCATGTTCATCCCTGTCTACCTAAACTCCTGCAGGTAAGCACAGCTGAGCACCCGACGCACCCAGCGCAATTATTCATCTGCGTCTCCGAAGGGAGACACAGACAAATTGCGGTAATTATGTCATTATCATTTTAAGGTCATGATTGGGCTACACTTCGTTAGTGGCATGATGACAATGTTGAACCGCCACAAACTGAAGTGCTGAGGGTCTTTACGTCACAATGACAATACCAAAAATACACAAATGTTAGCAACACTCCAGACTGCAGTGTTACCTCTTATTCTTCTGTGTCGTCTTCAGCTTTAAGATATCTATCAGGTAAAAAGCATCCTGGTACCACCCAAGTTCAAATTCCAACAAAACTGCACAAAATAGAAGGTTTACACGCTCCAGATTCACCCCACTTGTGATGAAGAGAATTGCCTTTCAAGACCTAAATTAGGGCAAGACCCAGGATGGATCGTTCATATCAAGAATGGATAATTGTTTTAAGTTCATATTATAAGGGAAGATACTTGAGGCTTGTGATAGCATGTTAAGAGCTAACAACAATAATTGCAACGCATTATCTATTTGAAAATAGGCTTTGGGGAATTCTTCTGTGGATGAATACGAATATCCGGGTGTCGATTTAGTCAGAAAATGTGGAAAGAAATTAGATTATGAGCCGCTTCTTGTTGCCGCACAGTATCTTATCCTGTTTTACTGTTCAGATAATGGCTGAAGAGGTTAATTGGGTTAATGTAAATGCTAAGATTAGGCTTCTAGTGGGAAGGGTTAAAGTAAGGTTTAGGCAATGCAGCTAAAACACTCCGACACCCAAGTGTAGCAATAAACAGGTGTGTAAACGAGTGTAGGTTCACATGTGGATACATGAGCAGTTGTGTGTCTGCATGTTTTTGGAACCTCCAAATTCCTCTTTTTAAAAACCAAGCTTTGAAGTTTAGGTTTTCTTGATGTTTTGTCTTGCTCTTCTTCTTCTTCTTGCTGATATTGAAAATCTTGAAAATCTCTTCCTTTCTTGTATTTAGGGCCTGAAGCATATCTAACAGTAAAGATTAGCCTCTCAGCCTCAAACGAGAAATTTTAGGTGATCAAAAGGTCTCTGCTGATCTCCTGATCTCCAGGCATGGCATTTTGCAACAAAGGTCAGAGGTTTAATCCCCTGTGGTATTTACTGTCTATCTACCAGCACCATGCATGTACCCTTTGTCGTATGAAGGCAAACTTTGGAAGGAACAACTATGCAAAACACGGATATCACCAGACCGAGACGCCCATAGCGCCTTCAAAATAATGTAGATATTGAGGTTATGATGGTGTTCCCATGAATTAAGAGGAAATAGTTTATCACAAAATTTAACATATTATTCTAACCTTTGATTTTGTGAGTGTAAATTGATATTCCACCCAAATCTCAAACTTTCTCACATCAAGGACCCCTAAACTGACACACATTAGACCACAGACCCCCATTGCTTTTAGATTTTTTTTTTTACGTGAAAATAAATTATTCCCCTTTTTTCTGGGGACCCCCTGGATCCCCCTCAAGGACCCCTAGGGGTAACCAGACCCCACTTTGAGAACCACTGGCATAGATAATAGTAATTGTAAATGATTTCAGTTGCAGCTTAGAACTGGCCAAGGCTGCCCTCTCTCACTGTAATTATTTTCAATTGCAATTCAGACAGCCATAGCAATTCATAGTGATCTGTATATAAAGAGAATAATGGAAGGTGGTACAAAGCATATGCCTCCACTAAACATGGTCGATTTGCTTCTTTATTTCTCAGAACCAGCATCTTATCTGTTATTTATAGAGCACCATTCAGACACAAGGCCATTCAACGTGCTTTACAGAGGCATAGAAATACATTAAAAATACAACATTAAAATGAGATTAAAATAACATTTAAAAACAATAAAAACAAACTTGAACAAATAAAAATATTAGAATAAGACATATCAAAATTGCATAAAATCCTGTAGGAGACTTGAGGTCAGGTCAAATATCAGGTTTGAAAATTAAGTTTATGATGTTTTCATATTGCCGGTATCTTATCAGACAACCAACACCAAGCACCACAATGGTAACAACTTACCAGAGTGGCTACAAATAAAAAGGCCTTATGTTAGTGTGTCTTTATTCTATTATAGATTACATATAATTGAGTTTGCTACTGACCCTGCACACCAGCTGCTCATATCCGCTTGTATACATTGAAGCATTTAGTGTAGGATAAGCTACCATAAGATATAATGACATAGAAGGTGAAAATGCAGCCACACACACACACACACACACACACACACACACACACACACAGACAGTGAGTACCATATGGGAGAGCCATGTGGCTGGGAGAAGTGCCAAGTACGACACCAAGACCGTCACCCGGTCAAGAAACAGGCCAGTTGCACAGACATATATTGAAGACGGTGGTCTAGCCTCGCACTCGGTTGGCACAAATCTAACTGGATTACAAAATCCTAATCAGGATTGACTTTTATCGACAGATGCGAGTGTTAATTAAGTGAAGAGGCACCTTCGACCATAATGTTCCGAGCGCGAGGTCTTTGAGAAAGTCTGTCGGGGCATTACCTGCTGTGGGGTTTTTATCATCTGCCGGAAACGTGACTCATCTTGGATTTGTGCCACCGCTGAAGATGAAGGTTTTGTATTTCTGGATGGTGAAGGTGGCAGACACTAAACTAAGCCTGTCAACTCCATGCAGAGAATCTAATCAACTCTGAATGAGAAAATCAGCTTCAGCTTTCATTCAGTGTTATTAGTAGGCCTGTGCATATTCTCATTTGTCCAGGTCATAGTCTCCTAAAGGAGTTTAAATCGAAAAAACAACTGGACTTGATTATTTGTCTGGGAAGACGTTTCACCTCTCATCCAAGAGGCTTCATCAGTTCATGTTCCAGGCTGGGACTGGCAGATGCGTACATGAACTGATGAAGCCTCTTGGATGAGAGGTGAAACGTCTTCCCAGACAAATAATCAAGTCCAGTTGTTTTTTCGATTTAAACTCCTTTAGGAGTGTTATTAGTACTAACCATGGGAAAAACTAATTTTAACCTAAACACAGACAGCTTTTTTTTTTTATTGACCCGCAAAATCAAAATCTCTCTGCTTGTAAGTGGTTGGAAACGTAACAAGGTTCATAGTTGACTTTTAAAACAGATACAGTGAACCGGGGGGAAACTTTAGGATTTGGGTGCATTATCCAAAGTTGTTAAAAAAAATTAAAAAAAATCAGAGAGAGTAAAAGAAATTCATCACCAAATTCAACCGAGACCAACAGATCAGGGATTAGAGCAAAAGATGGTGCAGATTTGTTTCCTCTTGCTTAAGCTACTTTATGCAGCTTTACTCTAAGGTACACCATATTGAATTAGTCCACGGGGCCCAGAAGGCCGAGAGCTGTTATTTATCGGTCTTAATTGGATCATGATGATTCTGGAAAGTCTCCAACTTGGTCAGAATCAAAAAAAGGTTATGGAAATTCACTCCCCCTGATTTACACTGGAAATGTATTGGAGCTCACTGTCTTACATCTCCCATGCACTTTGCTCCACTAATTCACTGGAATACATTTAGAGCTGGCTGGTTTCTCTCCCACCAAAGTAAAAGTGCAGTGAAGGTTATTTTTGTTGTTAGTAGTATATAAAGTATTGTTCTACATTTGTGTTAGATTTGAACCTACTAAATTGTATTTAAAGTACTTTTGTCTACACACTGACACCATCAGTGCAGCACCATGGACAGGGCATCGTTGGGCTTTGAATAAATCAGGAGTATTCTCAATTTGCATTTACATTTTCAATTATAATTTC